AGGAATCAGAAACATTTAGAATTCTAATAATGGGTATCATATATTTAAAGTGGTAAACCACAAAACATAACTTGGGAAAAATGACAAAACTGAGTAAAAACCAACACTCTTGCTTCTTTATTTCATCAGTTAACAGAATGATTTTACTAATACATCTCAAAGCAACTTCTGAACAGGAGTGGAAGTAACCAAAGGCACTTGAGTCTTTCTTACAGAAGGAAAAAATATTAACTGAGTATGCCATAGGAAATTCATTAATTTTACTTTATTAAGTGACTCTAACCAGATGTTACACAGCAGCTCATTAACCAATGATTTAATGGCTTTACTCGGCTGTAATTACAGAACAGATTAACAAAACTGCACTTAACACAGGTAGCTCCTTATTTAAATTAGTTTCAATGCCATTAAAGGTACTCAGCTTTTTGGCAAACTGCAGTTTTAATGATTGGTATATTATTTGTAATTATTGCTAATTGCTGTCAGCAATGATTGCAATATCTCTGGAACACATCTGTTGCTGACACTAGTTAAATGTGACAATTTGATGGCTAACAACTCTGTACACGTTATTGAAGTACCATTACCCGTAAGTGACTGATGAAAGTCTTCTACCTTTATACCTGGACATAAAATAGGCACTTTATCTGATATAAGGATTGATCTGTATTTTCTCTCTGTCAGTTTGTCTCCCCTAAGGTATCTAAAGGTATCCTCAGACAACCTCAACTGGATCAGGGGATTACTGATGTAATAAAGTACAATACAGACACTCATCATCACTCATTCATCTGGCTGGAATAAGTGAAAGCCTGTGGCCGACACACAGGATGCATGCTAATGCCTCTGACACAAACTCATTTGTGAGGGAAGGTTCTCCTTTACATACCACACCATCTGGAAACAAGGGGAGACAATAAACATCTCACTGCCAGTAACAAACACATTTCAACTGCCCATGCCATACCATAGATGTGCCGTGCAGATATGTCCATACCCGACCGACGCTGGCTTTGGTAAGAAGAGTGCGTTTTCTCTATGCTGACTGCAGGGGATAACACATCAGAGACGAGACACATTTTCAGTCTCTAGGAACAATGATGTAATCCCCGTTTGTGCCACGTCCGTTGTAGAAGATAAATGTACAGCCTCGTAGGCTAAAGCAGCAGGCGGGGAGTGCACTGTGCTGTGCAGATAAGAGCTGGACAAAGAGAAAAAATTCCAGTTAGAAAAAAATACTTAAAAACCATTCAAGACTCAAGCGTGGACCTGATGGAGAACGGGCATCACTCATATTGATGGCATAAATGACAGAGTTTCTGATGTTGTTTGAAGACCTAAGGTGCTGGCATAAATTCTGAACATGACAGGCAGCGCGAGATGGGTAGGCAGCATAGATCCCCACAGGGTCCGATGACTACTTGACCTACGTTAACTTTGGCATTGACAACACTCATGCCCAATGCAGATCTTCAGAAAGCTGAAGTTTTGGCACTGTCCTTATGCATCTGAATGGGTATCATATAAAAGGAAGCAAAGGATTAGGAGGACTGAAGCAAGCTGAATGTCTGACAAGGCACCTTAACAATAACAACTATGGGTTAATGCATTTTTTTAAGTGAAAAAAATTAATATTATCTAATGACATCAGCAGCCAGGCTGTGCACTTTGGGAATCCAGTGTCAGACTTTTACTCACTGAGGGACAGTTAAAACTGCTGTCAGCAACCACGCTAGTGGGAATTCACAATCTGTCCCGCTGCGGTAATATAATCCCTGAGACAGCAGACGTGTGGCAAGCTGGTGAGCACTTGAATACAGTCGTTCTTTGTGACAGAAGCTGCAGGACAGGAAACCTTACAGGGACCCCAAGAAATAATCCAAGACCATCCACGTGACACCATGACAAGATCAGCTGTAGCTGTGTCATTCCTGACAAATGTTTGTTTAACAGGCTCTTGCAGATGTCCTGGTTTCAGGTGGGATAGAGTTAATTTTCTTCTTGGTAGCCGGTATGGTGCTGTGTTTTGGGTTTAGGATGAGAACAATGTCGATGATACAGCAATGTTTTGGTTCTTGCTAAGTAGTGCTAAGCTGTTGCTAAATAGTCGCCAAGCAGTGCTCACACTGGTCAAGGGCTTTTCAGCTTCCCATGCTCTGCCGGGTGCAGGGGGGGGGGGGGGGGGGGGGTGGGGGCCCACAGCCAGCCGGCGGGACCAGTGCTGCCCCGAGTCTCTGCGGTTTTGCCTCTTGTCTGTGGGGTGTCTGTGCAGGGGGGGGGGGGGGTGCTGTGGGCCGATGGCTGAACACCTGCTTGCTGATGGGAAGTAGCTAATTAATTCCTTGTTTTGCTTTGTTTGCGTGTGCAGCTTTTGCGTTACCTATTTAACCGTTCTATTTTTATTTTACTTCAATTATTAAACTGTTCTTACCTTAACCCATAAGTTTTCTCCCTTTTACCCTGCCGATTCTCTCCCCCATCCCACCAAGGGGGGAGTGAGTGAGCAGCTGCATGGTGCTTCGTTGCCACCTGGGGTTAAACCACGACAGCAGACCACCCAGAAGCCATGGTTTCACAGCATTCACAGCAATCTGTTCCCATGCCTCCCTTCCCTACTGTTCAGAAGCACATGGGTATATTGGCCATGGACAGTCCGTGTATGGGCACTATGGACAGGAGGAAGTTGGTCTTTCTATAATGGCTTTTTGTATATTTGTATATCATATTTCTTGGCAGTCTCTTCTCTGCCAGGCTAAGCAACCTACTAGTAGATTACCCTACTCGCAGTTGGATCAGATAGATCTCATGTCTCTCTTGTCGAGTTCCTCTGTCTCTTTCTCCTGATGGGCCACATCTTTCTTGGAGTTCAGTGCCTAGAACAGGACCATGGCTTTACAACTGGACAGGGCAGAAGGCTGACTTCATATGCTTTTTACAAATGACATTCTTACTCAGAAATGCATTAAACTGATGCTTATTTAAAACTAAGAGTATTTGTTATTTATTAACATTACAGCTATGTCTTGTGAGCACTGTGAAGGGTCTTATCACAACTGACATCTGGGTTTTCCTTTCTCTGCCTTCTACTGGGATGGCGGAGCTTTAATTTCTGCCAAGGATTCTGTCTGATGTTCTCTAAAACAGGAGAATGGATTCAAGAATTTCTCTGTACACCAAGATCAAAGCCCTAAAAGATGCTTGTTGGATTATCAAGCCCTGGCCCCCAACATTACACCACATTACAGCATGACCCCTGTCAAATGTACTCAATGTACCCAGGTCCCTCAGGATGTCACCTGAGGTTTTTTTGCTCTCACTTCTTTTAAAAGAAGACTGAAATGGAAGGTCAGGACCTAATCTTCTCTACACTCATTCGCAACTGGCTCATATTCATACATGATTCTTCCAGTACTGTCTATGATCTTAAATAGTTCTCCTATGACTGTGATGCTAAGTGATTTGACATAGTTTTAAAAAGTATTTATATCCTTCTGTCACATTTTTGCCAGAGAAACTGAAATAACTGAGGAGCCTTTCACACCATGACAGCCCAGGGATGCCCTTCCTCCTGCAATAAGCCCTCTGCCAGAGTGCTAGTTTAGACACCAAGACAGTTACAGCCCCTTCTGCCTCACATGTCAAAGCTGACTCTGACAATGTTTTTCAAAAAACCAAAAACAATCAAGACTGCAAGCTCGAGTTTACCACTGCATCCTATTGCCAAGAGAATCCTGAGATCCCTTTCTTTAATTACTTAAAGAAAAGAAAGACACCGTGGAACCTTTATTTTGGAATTTAGATTGCAAGAACTGATTTGAAATTTAGACAACTAGAAATAATCCAAATAACCCTACTTTCTCCAGCCCTGCATAAGACTAGCTCCTTCTATTTCTGAATGCCAAATAAGACAACCAACCAGTGCTCTATACCTCACAGCCCCCAAGCTGCAGGCTCCTGACCTTTCAAGGGATGTAAGTCAGAAGACTATTCTTAGAGATAAACATATTAAAACAGGAACAAAGATGTATTTTTTAGTCAAGAGATTTTAAACATACATAGATATTCACAATTACTTAAAGGCACATGCTTGTTTTACCTTTGAAAGGAAGACAGTCATAAAGTTACTGCCCCTGCATGAAGGACCATGAAACAGAAAGAAATTAATTCCTTCAAAATTTCTAACATGTTTTTATTGTGTCCTTTAGCTAATGATCAACCACTACTGAAAACCAATCCTTTTAGGCCTTTTGAATAAAGCTGGGAAGACTAGAAATTGGCTCCTTACATAAGAAAAGTATATCAACATTTCTGTTGGTATGACTTCACTTTTAGAGTAGCACAGCATATAAACCTCATTTATTTAGTTACCATTAAATCAAAACACCTCTGAACTAAATTCCTGGTGCTACTCACTGTCTGAATCCTTCCTTTATTATGATGAGCCCCATACTTTTCAGATGTTTCGCCAGTGATTGCAAAGATATAGAGGGCATTCAGTTCAAGCAATGAACAGCATTAGTGGCCACTGAAGGAACTCTTGATAATAGTTTCTAACCACTCAAGAGGCCTAAACCAAGCAGGCTGGCAAGAAAAACTATCTGAAAAGAAAAACATGTAAGCCTGGTGCAGGAGGACTACAAAACTGGAGTTAATAACAATACGTACCGTGCTGCTGAGAACGACAGGAACAGTATAAGGCAGACAGCAGCAACTGACCCTAATCCAACAGCAGTCATGTATTGCAGACTGGGTGATAAATCTGAAAGAAAATATCAAACAGTTCAAGCAACCAAATACCGAATAGTGTAGCTTCAGTCTGGAGACTGATCAACTGAGCCTGCTCAAAGCTAAAGTACTGTAACAAAACTCAGATGTTAGACTTACTGCTCAATCAAGTAGTAATGGAGCTGACTAGCTAGCAGTTACCATCCAGTTGAGGAAGTAAGATTAAATGGTGTATTTCTCAAAAGTGATTATACTTCGCCATCCCTCAGTTTCTTGCCTTTTTTTTTTTTTTTTTTTTTTTAAATTCAGATACTCCGTGTCAACATTTTCCCCTCTCATCACTGGCAATTTCAGTCTAAGTCATATGCCAAGGTGGTCTCTGGTGCCAGAAAATCCTAGTGCTTTATTAAATGGCTCAATGCATCTCCTTCAAAATTTTTACGATCTGGGCACGATTTCTTTTCCCCATTCTTTTATTTTTTTTTTTCCCCAAGTGACAGAATAGAAATAAACCTGGCAATGACAGCCTTACCCAAGCCCATAATACCAGAAGCCACCCAGGGACAGAACAGAAGGCTTACAGTGATTTGCTGTCAAAACCAGAATTACTAAGAACTACTGGTGAAAGGAACCTGTGAAAATAGAAACTCAATCCCTTCCAGCCACCTCTATCCCATTTTCAGCATTAGTCAAAGGTTACCTATTTCTTACCGGATTTCCCACAGACATCTAGGATGCTGGATCTTATTCATGCAAGATTCCACAACTGTACTTGCTGTTAAATCTTGCAAGCATGAGTATTTAATGTTTTAGCAAAAATTTAACTTCTTGCAAAAATGGTACTTATTCAGTGAAATTACTGTATATATCCACAATGAGAATCCAAGTGTCTGAACATCAGAAAAGCAACTTCTGTTACTTAACCTTTTTTGGCTCACCTGAGCGTACAGGCACAAAACTGGCTGGGCATTCACCTGAAACACTTTCAACAATTAATGTGAAGCATAAAAAAGTCATACAGATCCATAAGGAGAACCTGACCAGTTTACCATCTTTGCCAAACACTGCTCAGTGAAGCAAGGCTTTTATCTGTGCAGCGCCTCTAACTTACTGTGAGCCTGGCAAAATAAAGAATTTCAGACAGGACCCTACCAGGAAAATCCGTTCAACCTACAAGCATGTTCAGTTTTGGTAAAAGTTATACCTGTCCTTATATCACTGTAACACCAGTGTCCATAAGCAAGTTATGCATCTCTAGGGCAGATGCCAGCCCTCCACAAAAATGACAGAACTGTCTTCCCTAAACATTGTAGAGTACGTTTGGTGAAAAACCCTCAACACTCATTTCATTTATTTGTGACGGAAGGAAGCACGCTTTTAACAGCTTTCCACCACTTTTTATGATGATGATCTATCATAGAATGTGTAGCTTTGTCTAGACAGCATTTGAAACAGGCCCATTTGGTTTAGATTTAATTTACAGATTTGCCTTCCACACAAGTTGAATTAAGAAATACTACTCAAAGGATTCAGTGAGCCAAAAATACTCTCAGCCTCTCCAGCTGCAGAAGCACATTAGGTCAAGGACACTGTTTGGCTAGAAGTCCATTCAATATAAAGGCAAATGGATTTACAACAGAAAGCCAAAGGCCTGACCTGTCCTAGTCCCGTCTTCCAATGCCCATTTTTTTCATCCCAAAACTCAAATCCACCTATATGTAAGACAGCCTCTGATGATGCTGTATAAGCTGATGAATGACAAATTCAGAAGAGGACAGTTTTCTGTCTTTCCAGAGCTATTTTACAGCTCGTGCCTATACAGCTCTAGCAATAGAGCCCTCAAACCTAGGGAATACTTGATCTTAGCTGAGTCTCCACAACCACAAACTGCCTAAATTATATTCTAAGTGTGGTGGTAAATGAACTAGGTCACGAGAGTAAACAACAAAAGGCAACCTAGAAAGAAATACACAGTTGTCACCAGAAGATGAGTAATAGCAATAGTCAGACGTGGGTTTTGTGAACAGTGGAGGTGATGCACCTCAAGCACTCCATGCACCACATGATTTATCATCATTCCAAAGTACTGTCTCACTCTCCAGTGTCACTGCATTTCTTAACTCCAATTGAGTCGTTCAACTCAAAAGCAGAATTTAGAATTTGTAGGGGACTCCAGTGGTGCCACTTTCTTTGTCAGGAGAGGCAAATTTTTGCCTTTTGCTGAAATATGATGAAATGGGTGGAGACAGTACTTTCTGTCACGGTGAAAAGGAGGCAAACTTGATCTCTAGTGGATTCCAAACTCCTCTGAGGTAAACTCATTCAGTGGAAACATTTTATAGTCAAAAAGAAAAACAAAGATAAAACCACGCTGAGAAATTCACTGGCTTATAAAGTTATGTCATTACACTTTTAAGAAACTGTACTTACAAGTACAAAAATTAGCCATATTTTTCATTTTTGCATGGTGTCTTTTATTTTCCTAAGTTCATAAAAGGACTTAATTCTCCAAGGACCACTTGAACATACCAAAATAATAATGTAGCTTCTAAAAGCTAGAAAATGTTTTTTTAAAAAAAATCTTTAAGCCAATATGAACTATCTTAAAGCAGGCTTATAAAATTTCACATCTTCTGGCTTCAAATCCTTTGCGCAGAAAGTTGCTGTAAAGATTTCGATGTGATGCATAGAAAAGATAATTTTGAAAACCAGGGAGAAACCAGAGAATCCATTTTAGAATGGATTACTGAATCCATTAGAATGGAATACCAAAGTGCAAGGCAAATTTTCTGCCTCTAACCTTTCCAGTCCTCAAAGTCAACTGACCATTAATGGCAAATGAAGAAACAGCCACAGTAATTATTAGTTTATGCTGCCAAGCAAAACCATGACAACTTCTGTTTTCTCATTGAAGGAAAAATTGACTTACTTTTAATTTGTGCCCAAACAGCACAGGACTGTGTTCTCACCTGAAAATGAAAACATAAAAATCACTGTTTCTCATGAGAAAAATTTATTATCACTAACACCCTCTGCAAGAGCAGCCATCCACAACATACTGTATTTTATTACTACTGGGAATGGAGTTTGTTATTCCCATGGTAGCAGCCTCTAGCTTGTCTGAAAAGATTATAAACTATAAAGATAAGATTAGAGATAGAGCTTTGATGAAAGGCTGGCTCTAGTCTTTTAGATCATCACTCCACCTTTCTTTCTACAACCTAGGTATATAAGTAATATGGAAGGATCTTTGAAGCTGCTTGGATAAGAATTCAGAATTTGTGAAATGCTAAGATAAGGCTGAATATGCTGTAATAACTCTATCCCTATGTAGAATATATATCTTGAAATATGGCACTTAATGGCCTGTTTTTCAAATACTAGACGTAGGGCTTTTTTCAGTTATGACAACTTGCTTGGTAGTTTTTAACAACTTTTATAGAATACTTACAGTAGTTCATGTTCACAGTAGTTGAATAAATGTTTACCAGACAGTCTGCTTTTGCAGACTTGTTTAACAAGTTTGGGGTTTTTTTACAGTAAGATTTGGTCCCTGTAGAGCTTTTTTTCCTCAGCACTTCACACTCATACATATACCAGAACTTCTGTTGTCTATTGTATAATTCCTCTGAAGTCTATTTTTGTGGTGCTTCTATACGTACTTTCCTGCTAAATTACTTTCACAGAATACATAAACATACATTTTTCATGTTTTGGCAAAATGTGTATTACGTTGCTCTGGATAACAGTATGTTTCTATGAAATTGAAGGCTACATTTTGAAGCATTTGCACAAAAGGACAAAGGCACATTTGTATGCTTAATCTTACTTTTCTGTGTCTGCATGCTGAATTGTGGAATCTCAGTGTTTCTTAAACTCATTTTTTATAAGGAATTTTCTGGTTATTTAAAAAGACAAAACACTGACAAAGAAAACCCTCTTTGGAAAAGGAGAATAAAGAACAAGCGGTGGATTTAAAAACTCAACCAAATGCCAGATTCTGGAGGCACTGGGGCAAGTGCCATCATCTTGAAATAGCTGCCTCCATGACACACTTTAGTTTGCAGGAAATCAGTCATCTCCTGCCTACCAGAGAAGTTACAGTGCTCTCAGGGATCTCAGCAGCAAAGTTCACTGCTCTCCACTTTATACTAAATCAAATTATAAATCCCCTCCTCTGATGAATTAGCACCTTTCCAGAAAGTTATCGGTGAAACTACTCCTCCAAATACTTGAGTATTCATAGACCTCAAAGTCTGTATTTCAACCTGGATATTCACAGGTAGCTAAACTGGAGATAGAAACCTCTTCCACAGCTGCACACTTAGAAGAGTTCTGGAGAAAAGAGAGAACATTTTGACATGCATATACACTTTTCTCAGGTGAGTTTTATTAGGCTAATTTTAACAGACTTTTTCTCACAGTAGGGGTCATTTTGATTCCAGTTTTCAGAACAACTCATAGTTTTCTTCCTGAAAAGACTGTGTGTCATCTTCACCTTTCACAGCCCCACTCTTACTTCTGTTACATGCACAAACTGTTTGATCCAAAAAAGCTGATGCTGACACTGAACAAAAGCTATGCTAAAGAAATTAACCTCAAATAAGTTTAAACTCCAAACACTTTTTTTAGTTCTTGCCCTTCACTATGAGCCTTGGCTCTCTGCACAGCATGGAATCCATAAAGTAATCACTGGAGATTAAAATAAGTACTAGATGGGCTTGAGTTATTTAATTAGCAGTATCCTTCATGGAGAAGGACAGTCCCAAGGGTGGACAACTTGTTCCACTTAAGTAAGGTTTTCATAGTAATGACAGTAAATTCTTGTTTGTTCCCAAATCCTCCCTTGGTCTCCATCATCGCTCTATTCCAATTGCCAAATCCATCATTATGAAAAATGGTAATGTCCATTATCTCCGACTTCCTAACTGCTTTCATTGTACATCCCCAACGATCTCCTCAGATCATCTGACCAGTCTTTTAACACATCTGAATGTCCTGCACAAATGAAATATGTTTTAAATCCTCCACCTTGAAAAATAAACAGAAAGTAAAAACCGCAGAGCAGACACCTTTCTCAGGACCTCCAAATCTGAGCAGGGGATAAATGAATGTGGACTCAATAAAACGGAACAGTTTACTTGTCTTAACTGTGTCTACACAATTTTATCTGAAGTGATTTTCCTACCCTTAGCACAAAGAAAATACGTCAGGTATATTGAGGAAAAATGGCAATAAAAAGTCACAACCAAGCCATGATTTTGCAGCATGTATGATACAAATTGTACCATTCTCAGCATGAAGGGGTCTGGAGCCAGAAGGAACTCTGGAGGATGCCAGAACATAAAAGTACAATAATGAGAACGTTAGTTAGAAGTCTATGACATATATTTCTAATGTGTCTGTATTCAAATGGAAATGTGTTCACAGGTAAAATATACTACAGAAATGCTGATTTCACATGTATCAATATTGAGGGCCAATTAAAGAACAGATTTTTTAAAAAGCAGACTTTTAAATATTAACTAACTCTTGAATCCAAATTCAGTTACTTAAGTAACCAAATTTTCACAAATTCTCAAAACCCAACAACCCTCAATTTATAATTCTGAATTTCTTTAACTTCTGAATACTAACAGTTGCACAAAATACAAGGGCATGAGAACTGGAAGATAAACTAGTACTTTTGAGCCACAGGTCTAAGTTCCATTTCAAAGAAGAGCTGGGAACCAAAGCTGTTTGGTATTTGCAATCCTAATAATGATTTATAAATGTTTAACTTTGTGTACTTCATCAAGTAACAAAAGCCACACATGAAAGTGTATATTAAGGAGCTGATGCATTCTAAATGGAAGGAAACGAAGAGTGACTTCTACAAGTAACAGTAATAATATTGCATTAAACCAGTAGCCTAGAACACATATCTGCCAATGCTAGAGATGAAACATCAGGAAATCATCTATATGAAAGAGAAAGAATAATGTAAGTTAGAAGCAGTTTAACAGCTGGCAGAGATGCATAAGCAGTCTGCACTGTTCCGTCCAAGAAAAGCCTCAACACAAGTAACAATAGGAAACGTTCCCCAGTATCAGAAAATATTGA